TAGACAAAAAGCGGACACCATCATTTCCAAAATTCGAAACCGAAAACGCTGGTGAGTGCATATTCGACGCGGCCGAACCGAGTTTTAGTAATTGTCGTTCCCGGCGCCGCTGCTAAAATTCGGCTCGGCGCACGATATGCCTTCATTTTTATGCGTTTTTGCTGCAGCTAGCAAAAACGCATATTGTCGAGAGGTTATGTGTGTTTTTTGGCACCCACTTTCGTCTCAGCAACGAGGGAAGCTGGGAGGCTGAAATTTCAGTTACATGTTCCTACCCCGTATGTCACCCTCCCGTTTTAAGATCTTTCCTCATACGCGCCTAGACCCCGCATACAGACCCTGCAAAAAATATGCAAGTTTCTTTGACGGGAAGCGATTTCACGGTTTTGTGAACTGGGAATTTGCATTTTTTCAAGAATTTGCATTTGCACTTTTATGCGTCTTCATTTCTTCGAAAAACTGGTATTCACTAAAAGAACGACCGAGCTTCATGCGAAAAACTGGCAATCATGTACCTGCAGGTCCATGCGGCTCTATAACGCAACGCCCTCATCCCAACCGATGCCCATTCTGCTGCGAGCCGGAAGAAGCCGAAGCATGGCCAATATGAGCTCAAGTGTTTGGCTGCAGCGCGGGGGTTATTCTAGCTATTAGCGACCCGCGAGTTCGGTGCAAAAACGCATGGTCGTACCGGGAAGCCTGATGCGTTCGGGCCTGGGTTTTTATTTAAATCTATCCAGAGAATGTTTGGTTTGTTTTTTCATTAGTGTAAAAAATGTACTGGAACGGATTTTTAGCAAAAACTATTATGCGTTTGGGAGTGGCAGATTGTTTCCGGTAAAACCACCCGAAGATACTCCGCCGCCGGTCCCTAAGGAACTTGAGAAGTGGAAGATCGGTTGTGTTGACAAGGGTGCTCGCGTCATCGGTGGAAATGCCGGTGTTTCCGCTCCGGCGTTTGTCATTGATGGTAAGGCTGCTTATCCTTACTGACGTAAAAAGTGTGATGCAAGCGATACAGTAGGATTTCTTTTTTTTTTTTCAGAGAAGGCAGGTATTTTCTACAGGGACGTTAAACTGGTCGATCTGTATAAAAGATTTAAGGAAAATAGCAACCTGATGAGCGCTTCTATCAAAGGTATGACTCTGCAGTTTTGTGGCTGCTGAGGATGCAAAAGCAAGTTAAGAGTTTATTAAAGCCAGATCAGGATTCTCCACTTTGTCTTAGCGGGTCTGGAAATAGAACAGAGACGGACGAGTTCGATTTGGACTTTGCGGGACTTATTGGGCCGAAACATGCCGGATTAGGGCTGTTATTATTCGTTGCGATTTGTTGCCACGTTTCATTAGAATTTTACCATATTTGCACTACTCATGGTAGTTGTTATAGATTACCATAACCCATCCTAAGAAATAATCAGCCGCTGCCGGGGATGTCGATGAAGCCGTCGCCTTCCCGAGTACTGTTAATTGGAGCTGCTTAAAAAGTGTTAAAGGCGGTAGTCTGGCGAGGCAGTCCAGTACACCAACCTATCAATGGGATCTAACAAACCGTACAAGCTTGTTTACAAGCCAAAATTCCCTCCCATAATTATACTCTTTATAGCACTACAGCTTTTCTATAAAAAATAAATCTTTTTTTGCTTTTGTCTTATTATCTGCATCCACAGATCTTCGAGTGCAAGACTTGGACAACCCCAGTATATCATTTATCACGTCTGGGCTGTCAAGCGACGTAGTCAGGGATATCAGGTATTTGTAAATTTTTCTAACTGGGCAAGTTAA